GACTTACCCACGGGGTGTATCCACCTTCTCAATGATGTCGAGGTTTTCAAGCTCATCAATTTGTCACTCACTTTCTGACGCATGCTGTACAGTATCCTATACATACTCTGAGCAACAGGTTAAATGTCACAATCTATATGTATTTTTAACTGGAAATCTTTCAATTTTCACATACCGTCGAAACATTCCGGGTATTTTTCCCATATAGCGCTGGATGTATCCACAACATTAACTCCACTGTCGAGTTTCAACAATACTAACACGCTTGTCATGTTTCTCCCTAATAGTGCTGGTCCCTCGCCATCTAACACAAAAATGTCTGTCTCTGTTGTCTGTCCATTCTGTGTGCAAACTGATGTTGTGAATTTTCCCATGAGAGGTAATGGGTCCTTAGCTCCATATGAATAAAGTTTCTTCTGTTTTCTCAGACTTACAAACTATTTTGTTTTTCTTAAGCTCATTCCACTGGTTTTTGTCCATTATGTTTACTGATGCTCCACTGTCAATGATGAAGTCTACAAATTGTTCATCCACTTTGATTCTGATTACCTCAGCTGATGACCCAACTTTGTAATTTACTTGGAATGCATATTCATCACTATCACCCTCATCATCAAAATGTCAATAGGGTGTTGGTCCAACAGCATGTACCTTCCCATTTCCCTTTTTCATGTTTGCTGATTTACTGTACTTACGTTTTTCACCATTTCCTCTCCATCCGTTAGAGTTACTCCCCTTTGACTTGTTTTGTGCTTTCTATTTTTGTTTTGTTTTACACCTCGCCACAAAATGTCTAATGTTACCACACACTTTACACTTCTTATCTCATGCAGGACAATGCCAGTCCTTGCCTATGTGACATGTATATCCACGCCTAAAACATACCGGGCCTGTTTGTGATTTACTTTGACTGCTGGTTGCCACGTGTACTGATGAATCTTTGTTGTTTACACCGGAAGTTTCCATCCGTTTAGCCTGCGTTTCAGACATTTCTAGAGACTGGTCTGTTCTTTGTTATTGTTCTAACGTGAGATCATGTCCCTGTTCAAGTAAACATGTGCATAATTTATGAGATGTACATTTTTCAATTATCTGATCTCTGATCTGTTCATCTTCCGTTGTTCTAAACTCAAAAAGTTTAGTTTACTGCATAGACTGACTCACCTTCTCTGGTTGGTTATGTGTAGAAAATATCCTGTACTTCCTGGCCTGCACAGTGAAGGAGTAATGCGTGTTTTGTTCTGCTTTAGTGATTCCCTTTCCCATGGCAAACAACGCAAAACTTCTCATCCATCTTTCCCACGTCTGATCAGGGGTCTGGAAAAGCACTCGTCCGGTCGTCATCGATGAGTGAAATTTGTCTCGGACAACCAGATTTATCTTTGTCAGTCGTTCCTCGGACGAGAACTTTTTTCCAATTAAATTAATGTTACTAAAATGTAAAGAAAATTTAAAACAAAGAAACGTCTTTACGGTACTTCGAAAACAAAATATTCCAGTCGGTACTCTAACTTTTGATTACACCGGAACTCCCATGACGTCAAATATAGCATTCGGAATACCTTAGTCATTTTCCCGCGGTCATACTGATGTCAGGTGCTCTCGGGCGGTACCAACATCTACCAGTCTGTATTTAACAGCACCTAGTCAGTAGGATATAAACAAACCCTACAGCTAGGCCTAAGTCATGCACAATGTCTGACGCAAAGCAGCAAACACTGCATAGTTTTTTTCGCTAAAACTTAAAATAAAATAGAAAAAAAACACATGTCACATCCTCGCTGATTAAGTTGCCATTTCATGGCTGAATTTGGAAGAATAAATTTCCGATCCGGACGAGTACATTTTCAGTCCACTAGTCCTGTGCCTAATGGTTTAAAATATTTTTCCATACCCCTGTCTGATGAAGACGACTTTGGTGACCACGTGTTTCAAACTTTGGTAGTCTGTTTGAGTCAATTATTTGAGCCATGTTCGACCTTCGTGTAAGAATCCTTCTTGAATTTCTCCACAATCTGTGTCCAGTTCTTTTTTTCCTACTCATGGCCAGATGTTGGAACGAACATTTATTATCGAATTCACATTACAAATACATAACAACTGTATCAGGAATTAACCCATGGCATGCCTGCTAGCTACCGAACTCTCCCACGTGCCTATGGGCAATAACATGTTAGTCCTTCTATTATAGGTAGCATTACATAATGCGACATCCGTATGTATACACTACCATTGCATATAACCCTGACACATCTGATCGACTTCCCTAACACTAGACCTTTCTAAAAATTTCTTCTTGTTTTCCCTACATCGCCTTTTATGGTACCATCAAGTCCATCGAACCACTGGTAAGCACTTGAATTGTTTGTTAAGCTCATAGCAAACAATGCAGCTTTTTGCTCATCTTTCCCCTGTATTAAAGCGATATAAATTTTGAACCTGGCAATAAATGCCACAGGATCTTCATCCTTGGTACCAGAAAATTTTCCTATGGACACACCATGCCCAATAGACGCCATACCTTTGGAGTTGGGAGGTTGGAGCTCTATTTCATGCTCTGATGTATCGATATCCTCTGCTGAACTGTCAGAAGGTGGCCGTTCCCTGCTTCTTAGCCAGTACTCTCTTTGTACTGTTCTGTCAATTCTGATGTCGTTTACATGTGTTGACATCTGTCGATTGAATCGAGGTTGATGGGATCGTTGATTCCACACCAATTGTGACAACGTTTTCTACGGGAATTCTGAAGAGGCTGAAGTATAAAATGATTCCAATATTCTTCATTTGTTGAGAGCTGCGTTCAGAGTGACAATGAAATTTACAATTTTAAATAAACCCAAAATGCTAATAAATGCACAGCGCTTAGATGATATCAAACATATATCTAGGATCGTTTAGTACGTTACATTTTTACAGTACAGAATTTACACGACCACTCCGATCACCAGCCTGTGGCTCGTTCTCGGGCGAACAAATGTATAGTAACGATTAACAGCAATCAAAACATTATTTCGAATCATATACTCCCTTATAATTCATAGCGAGTATTTCTTCAGTCAACGTCTTGTAAAGATAACAAATTTGTATTCTTCTTAACCGTCGCGGCAATTGATCCGGAAGTAAAACAAGTATATGTAAAATTAAAACCAATTCCGAACAGGATTAGAATTTCCGAATAGAGTGAGATAGAAATGTTAGAGATTATGAAAATAAAATAGAATTATCAAAATAAAAGTACGATTTTAATTTGAGAGTTCTGAAAATCAAAATATTACAATAATTCAAAAATAATAATTATTTACATTTGATATATCAAAAATCAATAATCATCTAAATACACATATTGAATGAGAAGAATAAAATCTATTTTAACTTGAGACTCAATAATAATAAATATGTGTGTTTGTAAGAAAATTATTAAAGTAAACTTGACTCACCTGAAGTATAAAAGAGATTTCTTTAAGTTACCAATATTCTTTATTTGTCGAGTGCTGCGTTCAGAGTGACGCAGCTCAACCTTGGAAATTCTAGTATACCCCAAAATAGTGAGATTTCGATTGACCAGTCAAATTAAGATTTACGTTACTTTAGCCAATAAAAAGTTACTTTTCTGCTCAGGTATTAACAGAGAATTTAATGAGCATGACAAGCGTCCCGCACATATCATAATTCGCTCTACGTAAAATCTGACGTAAGCGTAAACCTAAAATAATGCCTAATGTAATTATTGCCTATTGAGACATTCAGTGGTGTCAATAAGTAACTACATACAGGATTACAAGTTTCTTTGATTTATACAAATTAACACCGTTCACAGCGCTGAACTAAATAACTATAAAAACACTTATATATGTTTTTGTATAGAAAGGAATTTTTGACGGGACATCTAAATTGAGATTTACATGCCATGTCTTGTTCTGAAACTTGTAGTACAAGTTAGCGACTAATTCTAACCAATTATAAGAATATGATATTTTCTTCTTTTGGTCAAAACTAAGTATTTTGGTAACAAAGAACAATTTTAAAGTATATTTCTAAATTACGGTCTCATTTCAAACAAATTTAATTTGAATAAATTCATTTACTTCATTTATCCAGATAACTTTAATAAAAGGCGAGATAGCTACACGACAAAAGCAAATGTTACATTTGAAAATTTTGCAGTTGGTACGAATAAGATTAGAAACTACCAAGAAGTACTGCTACATACTTGTAAACATTCGTGTCTTTATAACCAAGATTTGATCAATATCACATTAATCAGGGAAGTATTTATCATTGCCTACCAACCATATTGAAATCGTTATACAATTTACTTTCAGATCGAGAACATTCATTTAAGGAGACATAACTTACTTGCATAGCAGTATGGTGGTTTAATTCTCTTTGGCGTAAGAAGGATTTAGCGAAACTTGTTTTTTTATATTTACTACCTGGTAATATTTGGGAAACTCCCGAATGAAACTTATTATTCAAATTTATTCTAATTATAATGCACGAGGTAAAAATGTTTTCAAACTATAAATACAATTCATTTGTTGTTTAAACAGTAATAAACAACAAAAGAAACACCATTTCTTAAATGACGTCATGTATGATTTATTACAGTAATAATACACCAGTATTGTCTCACATGAAAACCTACACTACATTGCCAACTAGGAAGTGATTGTACTACTTACCAGTACAAAAATGTGTATGCATCAGGTATATTGTCGTTACGACAATTTTACTCCGTAAATCTATCGAGGTTGCTATACAGGTGTTGTATGGAGGCAACCAAGTGACCCAGCGATATTTTTAATGTTCGGGGCACCAATGAAAAACGTTTGACGCAAATCTTGTATGGATAAGTGAGAAAGATAGGCAGATCCTCTAATCTAAATCTTCTACTCCCTACAGTTTAAGAAGGCACGAAAATAGGGATTGATATGAAATATAAATCAGAACAAATCTTATTTTAATATATTTAATGAATGTGTATGAATGATATCACTACATCAGTCCACCATCTCATATTGAGGTAAGTCGGACTCAAAATCAGATTGATATCGATGTGGCGGTGACGGGAATGGCGGCGGTGATGCCGACGCTTGGGTTTGGGGCGCAGCCTGGGACTCCGGAAAGGTGGATAAAGAATTTTGACCCGAATTTCCAAACAGAAACGTCCATGCTTTCTGTGTCAGTCTCCTGGTGACCGTGACAGCTGATAGCCACTGGAACAGGGTCACTTCCTGGAATAAAAGAGGAGGAACGATTACACAGACGAGATTTACTACATGTATGAAGGATGGCTTAAAATTGTTGATATTATAACACCCTTTGATATGTCCGTACATATACGTCCAGGCTGTCTTGTGTACGTACATACGTACATACACACGTACGTGCAGACTGTCTTGCGTACGTACCAAAAATTGATAAACGCGGTAAAAACCAAGGATCGGCCGGGGATTTTACCACATTTCTGTGAACTTTGTGACCTCCTTATTTAAAAGTGTTTTTTTCTCATTTTAAATTGGAACTTTGTAATAAATAAATAAAACAAAAGTTCTGAATTCTTTTCGCCGAACTGAAGAATACGCCATCTTTTCAGTCTTTTTTCGTTTTTCACGACTGCATTTATCTAATGGTTACAGTAATATTCGATTCATTCTCGGCCCCTGTCAAGTTTATCGCTATACCATTCTCTGGGTTATCCTTTGATAATTTCTGGATTGCATATGCAGTGCTCCCTTTCGCACTGACCAATCAGAATCAGCGACACAAAATAAACTGAAAGAAAAAGTGAAATTTAAATAAAACCAAACATGTTCATCACGAACTTAGATAAATGTTGATTTATCTTGAATTAATTAATTTTTTTGCCACAGAAATCACATTTTTCCTTATGCAATAGTTAGGGCCAGGTCCCATTGGACACTTTTTACAATATCATCCATTTTCATTTCTGTTCTAGATGAGCTTGTTAATTGTTAGCACCTTGGCTATATTTTCAGCCAATGAAGTACGTTGACGAACGTAATGGTCAGTGGGGATAAGGGGCCACATCACGCTTAGCAAGTATTTAGTTAATTGGACTGTGAATTCACCTGGATAAGACAGCGAGATGGTCCGATATCACCTGTATTACGGTTTAGATACAGATCCTTAACATAGGCTCATCCTTTTCGTTTGCTGAATTACAAGCATCGCGGACTTAGATATAGATAAAATGGTTAAAATACCCATGAGTTAAGTAAGAGATTATTTCTTATTAAACCACAACATTATGAAATCAACTAATCACTTTCATGCTGAATGCTTGCAACCTAATGTTTTTTTCAAAGGGTTGAGACACCCTCTCCTCCTTCATCTAGGAGGTGAGTTTTTTCTTGCCCTTGGGGTCATACTCTGTTTGGCTCTAGTTTGTGATTTTGTTGCCCCTTTGCGTCTTGTCGTTGACGTGATTTTAAATCTGTTGACATAACGTTAATGTGACGTCATATCATTACCTCGACAGGGAAATCCCCGTCTCAGCTTTAAGGTGAGACAAGGATTTCTACCCCATCGGACAATACATCCACACTTTCGATGAGGGTAAGATGTCTCTATCTTGCCGGGTTAAGACAGCCTGCACGCACAGAACATAGACATGTGCTAAACCGGAAGCTGTAAATTTGAGACTTGATTGATTGATATTGACAGTTCATGATATCAAAGTTTGATATTATTTAATGACATTATCTGACTATCTTTGATTATTCAAATCAGTTTTATGACAATCAGTTACCATTACGATTGTCTTTGTACAAAAGTTATTATTTGCCTGATTTTGTTTCCATAGTTGTCTGGTTGTTCATATATTCCAAACATGTTAGAGATAAGGGGAAGAAAAGGGAGCATTCTCTAGTTAGAGGGTAGGACAGAGAAGTCTCTACCATCCTATTATTCTCTTACCCTGGACAGGTAAATCCACAACATTTGTTTTTACCCAAATGTTGAATGATATAGAGTTATTTCCACCCTCGGGAAAAGATGTTTAAGTTACAACCCATCGGCAAGCCTCGTGTTTGCTTAATTTATCACGTTTCCCCATGGGTTGAGATCTAACTATCCCACCACCAAGAGGGCGAAACATTTTATTAATCTTACACTGGTAAAAGACGTGGATATATATGTTCAGTTTCCCCTAGCAAACCAAGAATAACCATATGATGTATGTAAGAACAAGTAACATTTTCTATATATATTAATGTTCACTTGCAAACACGAAAACGAAGGTTTTTACTTAAGAAATATCTCTTCAAAATCATTTATTCGAGTTCACCTACCATGTCATCACGTCCGTACCACGTGGAGGTCTTCTGTAAACTATCCGATACACTAACAAAGCTCTCCATCATTGACGACGTCAAGGCGCTTTCGCCCCTGGAATCGTCATTTGTCATGCTCCGATCAGCCCCAGCCTCAAACGATGACAAAAAACTGTCATTAGGAGTATTCGTAAGGTAGCTAGGATAATTAGGCGTCACGCTTCTACAGGTCTGATGTGTCCTACTGTTTCCCTTGGACTTGCCGTGTCCAGGGAAGCTCTCCTCTGGCTCATTTCCGTGATCTGCAATCCTCTGAAAGTAGGAACTGCCTTTAAACAAGTTTCCATTACCATCAATAATGTCTTCTTCGTCACTGTTGACCTCGGATGGCGCCACTGTCCCGTTACCAAACGTGGATATGAAGCTAGAACTAGCGCACGGACGACCGAAATGTATGTTGGTCCCTTCAACAGAGTCCCCTCCTCCTCCACCGTTTCCTACTTCCGGTGACATTTCTGGCAAAGTTTGATTTTCATCTTCATCGTACTTCCGCTTTAGCAACGTTTGAAGTGTTTCATCTCTGACTTCCTTGAAGCTATTTTCTCTTTTATTTTGTAAAACACGTTTCCTTTGACGAAGCGCTCCACCATCCAGCAGATCCCTGAGTATGGTTCTCGCTACCTTAACTCCAGAATACTTCACACTAAGTCTGGAGAACACCGAATGATGTTTGTATGGAGCGTGTGTTTGGCTATTCACCTCTAACTTCCCTAAGATTTTGGAGCCGTGTTTTATTTTATATTGATGCATTAGCATGGGAAGATTTCCAGACTTTGTTTTCTGAGCTTTTAAAAACCTTAGTTTGTCTCGCTTTTCGTCCTCATTCCGATATTTAAATTTCCTTCGTCCTGAATGTCCACATTTTGCTTTATATTGGGTCTTCCGAGCTGTAAAAAAAGGAAAAATGAACCACCCATAACCATGAAATTGTTTACGCTTCCATTTAGCATCAAAGCTAGCAACGACAATGTACTGATCAAGCCTTAAGGCACGTGTTCTTCGTCATTTTACCAGCAAACCGTCTTGTACGATTTACATTTAATGTGTTTATTTTAATAATTTGTTTTGTTTTATTTTTCGTTTGCTTCTGTTTTTTTTATATTATTATCGTTTTCATTATTTCTCTATTCTTTACAAACTGTAGTAAACTTTATCTCACGGTAACGCATCGCCTTCCGGATAGTGAAGTAGGCAGCGGCGGCGAAGAACAGGTTGTAAAAAAACACTGCGGCGGCAGGCGTCGGTAAACCGATATCAAATCGAATGCTGGTTGCTGCGGCGGCTATAAAATATGTACAAATGTTAATACAAGGGCTTTGATGAGTGTGACGTTATAGTACAAAATCATTGTCTCTATAATATTAACGGAAAAGTAATTAATATATTGTGCTTATTTTAGGACAAAAGGTAACTTTACAAGAACACGCATGATTGGGCAGATCATACCGTACATGATCACGTGTTCTCTGGAAATCGATATAAAATTTTCTAGGTAAATGTGATAATGCTACCCAGTACGCAACAGAACGAGTTGGTTACATATGAATACAAAAGAGTTGTTATTCTATGCTATTATCATTGATAAAACAATTTAATAACAAATATTAGTCTGGGAGGAGTTAGGGGGTGTCAATTATCAATTAAGCAACATGCCTATAATTGTTGACAGACTCTCGATCGGAATGTTCCAGTAAAACAGCCAGTGGTTTGATGGCGGCGTGTCACATATTTGATACACGACTTTCTCCGGTTCCGTGTACGGAAAAAACAGGAAGTAGAACAGCTGCTCCCCCGTCGTCATTTCCGCTCCGGCATCATCCAATATATGTAAACGGCATGTTGTTTCTCCTAATGATTCCCTGTGAAATAAGGAAATAGAACACTTACTTCACTGCACATCCTCTGATATATTAGGCATTGATCTACAAGTTTTATTTGAAATTAGTTGCTTTCCCTGATTTAATGCGAGTCTTCTTTCAGTAGTATACGTAGGAACCCGGTGTGCCTAGGAAAAAATATGATCATACAGTTTCACGTCCAAATTGGCAAAACGCAATTATGCACCATCATTTATGTAGATCTGGGAAGGGGGAGGGGGGGGGATGAAGAACAGCAATTCAAAATAGCATATCAAGTCGCCACAATTTTCACGGAGTTATAGTGATCACTGTAAGTTGTACAGAATGTTTCTGTCTATTTGGTACGTTTTGTATTTGTAAATAGTAAACATAACTACACCAAACTTCTCTAAAATGGTGGAAAGAAAACCAACTTGTGTTCATAGGTTACATACCACAGAAAGTTACTTTTTGGCAGCATTTATAGGATTCCAATATATTTTGAATTGCGTTAAGTCGTTGCTACTGGCGATACAGTACATTAGATTTGGCTTTACTAATTTTCCATGTTTTCATATTGCTTTGCGGTTTTCCTTCCACCAGACACCTGTCGGTGAAAATATCTAACGTTTGATCAGGGATTCAGAGGAAGTTTGGTCTGCAATTTTGGTTGAAATAGAATATGTCAACAAACTAAATATGAAAATATCGTCAACTTATAAATAAGTTTCAATAGCTAACTCACCCGATAAAAATGAGAAGCAATGACACCAATAAGGCGACTATTGTCATCTTAGATCTTAGCTGAGTTCGTCATGGTTATATATGTTGGAAGATGCAATCCTTTGCCAGCGACGTTCTCAAAGACTTTTACCAGCGTGCCATATTTTTTTTTCAAACGTCGTATGAAGACGGAAGTGACGAAATGTAAATATGACGTCACAATTTCCATTATTGTTCGGAAACTACCCAGATTTTCCCGTCGTGCATGTAATAGAAAGGAATGATTTGAAACTAAAAGGACGATCTTTGTTCCTCATGCATGTACATTTTTCGGATTTGTTCCTGAATTGGGATCCCGTGAGATCGCATTCATCCAGGAATAATTGACGGATATGATATTTCTTGTCGTAAGATTTTTGTAAAATAAACAAACGAGCTTCGAAATTGATGTAACATGGAGTAGAAGTTGATTTTGTTCATAAATGATAATCTGAAGCGGGTAGGATGCAAGGCTTTTTCATCTTTCTCCTTTTTTCGGCTCCTATATGTTACATAAATCAACCTACACATAGATTGATACAGTTTTACAGTATTATTCACAACCGTATCATAATTAAGGTGACGCATTTAAGGGTTCATGGAAATGTTAAAAGTTTTTTTGACAAAAATATCCATATTGAACATGTATATCAGTTAACTGAAGACTCCAATTTAATACTTAAAATTTTGTTTGGACTTCTTTAACAGTCTCGGCCAGTAAGGAAAGCCATTTTACAGGTAGCACCAGTTCTCATTCTTCATTGTAGTATTTAATTGCTTGGGATAAAAATTATGTTCAATGTATAGCTGTAACATCAAAGTTAAACTCATATTCATGTATCTGTTTCAATTTCGACTTCACGTGCTGTATATGTACATGAGATATACAAGCGAACACGTCATAATATTTTATAATTGAGATTATCACATCAACGGAAGATCAAGCATGATCAATTAATCGATCAGTCAATCGAATATTTTAATCGATTGTTAATAGTTTTACGAGAGAGAACAGTAGAATAATGCTGTTGGATGCATTCAAGACGTATAGATAGAAAAGTCAGTCAAAGTGAATTGTTTATTTGCCCTTTGCCTGGACGTTCTTAAATTCAAAATTCGAAATATTTCTATTGTGAATATTCTCTACCGCCAATCCGATATTTGTAATGTTACACTTATCAAGGACGTTGTCAAATTCTGATAAAATCTAGAAAAAAAACAAGCTAACAGCTAGTGTTGCCGTTAATTAAATTTTCTAAGCAACATAGATCTAATTTTATCAATTGAAAATCTTCCCCCCTAAAACCAGTGTCTCGCCAGGAAGGACGCACAAACAAGAAAATAACGAAAAAAAAAAAAATGAATAAATAAATAAATAAAATTATATGCATTCCCTTGTGATTAATACTGTATGAAGTTTTAATCAAGTGTGTCATCCCTAATTCAACTAAATGATTATCTGGAAAACAAACCAAAACACTGACATATCAGAAAGGACCCGGCTTTGTGTCTGCCCTTTTAAGATGAATTTAATCATTACAGTTACATTGTCAGTATAACTCATAAAAAGATTTAAAATTTGACCTTGACCTTTTAACACAGTGAACCTGAACATTGGTCAGTTGACTACTGGTGTTATTTTGACAAACTTTGCTTCCCACATCTTTGATGCGTACCCTGAAAATGGTGATAAATGTCTATTGTAGTAAGTGACCTTCACAGCCTTCACAGCCTTCACAGTTGACCTTTTCATTCCCAATATTATAATATTAGATTGCATCAAGTTTCAATACAATCGGTCAACCCTATCACAAGTTATCATCTGGAGGCCAAAATATGACGATAAACGACTATTTTTTAGTAACAGTGACTTTGTAGTTGATCGACTCTTTGACCCCAAACTCAATCACACTCTATATTACCTCGGAAGCTAACATCGTATGAAGTTTAAAGCAAGTCCATCGATCCTCTCTGAAATTTTCATTTGGAAACAAAAAACAAAACAAAACAAAAAAAAACAAAAAAAAAAAAAAAAAAAAAAGATAAAAGTTTATTTTTAGCTACAGTTACCTTCGCAGTCAATATTTCGACTCCAATCTCAATCACACTCTGTATTTACTCATAAGCTAACATTGTATGAAGTTTCAAGCATGCACGTCGCCAGAACACTGAAGTTCGTCGGTGAGACGATACCCGCACACTGGAGGAGTCACGGAGACGGAAAACCTGTCATTCAATTCAATTCAAGCAAATTCATCAGTCCTGTCTGAAGTTATCATCTGGAAACCAAACTTTGACGAAAAATATCTTTTTCTAGCAACCGTAGTGACCTTTGTAGTTGACCTCTTGACCCCATACTCAATCCAATTCTCTATTACCTCATAAGCTAACATCGTATGAAGTTTCAAATATGTATGTATGCATGTATGTATCTATGTATGTAACTATCAATGTGATTTGTTTATAATAATCTATACTATCTATACTACGGACTGTGTATCCGGAGAGAGAATAAATTGAATTAAATTGCGGGCGAACAGGACTTTAAACGGCGGTCCGTGTATATGTGGTGACTGTGCGTTCTCGCAAAATAAAGATTCCTCTCTGGCTTTTAAGAGAAGAGTAGGCATGATAACGCCGATCCAGATGTTTAGGGAATGAGATAAAATACACCATTTATATAATAATATTTGATCAAAATTATGTAGGCCCCATCCAGTTATGTGTTACCAGTTCATGAAATATCAACAACATATGAAATCGCTCTCTCTCTGTGTGTGTCTCTCTCTCTCTCTCTCTCTCTCTCTCTCTCTCTCTCTCTCTCCCTTACTCCTACTCTCACCCCCTCTCTCTCTGTCTCTCTCTGTCTCTCTTTCTCTCTGTCTCTCTCTCCCTTACTCCTACTCTCTCCCCCCCTCTCTGTCTCTGTCTCTCTCTGTCTCTGTCTCTCTCACTCTCTCCCTTACTCCTACTCTCCCCCTCCCTCTCTCTCCCTTACTCCTACTTTCTTTACCCCCTCTCTCTCCCTCTCTCTCTCTCTCTCTGTGTCTCTCTCTCTCTCTGTGTGTGTGTGTGTGTGTGTGTCTCTCTCTCTCTCTCTCTCTCTCTCTCTCTCTCTCTCTCTCTCTCTCTCTCTCTCTCTCTCTCTCTCTCTCTCTCTCTCTCTCTCTCTCTCTCTCTCTCTCTCTCTCTCTCTCTCTCTCTCTGTGTATACCTGTTTACCTGTTTGTATTTATGTATATTGTGTGTGCATGCGTGACGTGTTGTTTACGTGACAGTGTACCTGTCCAGTGTAATGTGGTATGTAGCCGAAACAGTCTGACACAACCTGAACGCAACTCAGCATTTTTTCAAATCCACTTGCATTGCATGCTTAATGCGTTTCCACATCTGCTTACATCACGCCTCTTCTGGCTTTCAGTCTCTCCAACTGTTCGATCTGTTGCTGGGCGTCGGCGCAAGAGGGTATACGTATTTATTGTTGTCAAATAGAAGCTGGCAAGTTGACAATAATACAGTAGTGATGTTGTGTATTTTTCGCATGCGCGACTGTTTTCCTTGATTTTGTAGGATTTCGTGTCGGTACATTAAAACGGAAATAATTATGAACTTTGTCTCGAGTTTCATTTCCTGGCCACATCGACATGTAAATTAATAAATAAGTTGTATCATCTTACAACAAATTAGACCTAATACTGAAAATGATTAACATGAACAATGAATTGCCTTTAATATGCATTCATGAGCAATGTGAATGTGCCAAATGTGAAATTCAATTTGAAAATTTATCATTTATTTATGAGGGATACATATAAAGATGGTTATTATACAAATGAATGAATTACAATGTCTCCGACCTCGGGGACTGGGGCGGTGTTGAATTGAATCAAATTTCTAAAATCTCCCCAACACTCAGATAGGGAAGAATAAAATACTTTTCATAGATGGAAGGGTATAACCCAAATTATGAATTTCATGATCCTTGCATTTTTCCCCTGGGATGGGTATTAAGTTGGAAGCTTATATAAAATTATTTTTCTATCTAATTCAAACTCTATTAGAATCCATCATATAGGATGACAGTTAAGTATGTTTACAAGATGTTTTAAGTGATATATGTAACAACACAAACAATGTTTGTGCATTATTGAAATTTTGATTGAAGAATTAGAAGATTTGATATATGGGTTAGGTTGCTACCAAATAGTTCTACCTTTTTGATATTCTTTTATGGTGTCCAGATTTGGAAAAGTAAGTTTTCAATTTTTATCATTTTTAGATCATCTTACCGTAGGTAACGTTTTGTAGTCAGATGACCACTATGGTCCATGGGTCTCTTGTTTGTTTGTTGAAAATTTGAATTAACAATTATGTACGAATACCTTTGTTTATGTGTTTTCATGAGTGTAATTTGATCTTTATATTCACACTCTGAACCAGTTTTGTATTATTGAAACTTCAATCAAGATGTTATTTTCTTTGTACCATGATTAAACAATGGTCCATTTACAAAAAACAGTTTTCTTCTTCATTTATATGTTTGATGACTGTGAGATTTTACGATCATGATAACAGTAATATCTGAGGTTTTTGTCCATTTGGCAATAACTGAGTTTACTACGTAGTTTTTTGGAAGACTTTTCCATAACTGTTGTATTCAAGAAAATGACGGTCAGGAATATCTGAGGTGATTCGTCCGGTTATCAATATCTGAGGTGATTCGTCCGGTTATCAATATCTGAGGTGATTCGTCCGGTTATCAATATCTGAGGTGTATCGTCCGGTTATCAATATCTGAGGTGATTCGTCAGGTTGACAATATCAGAGGTGATTCATCTGTGACGTTTGGGATGACTTGTACCTAATTGTGAGCATGAGCTGTTGTAAACTGTCCGTGAAGTCTAAAACGACCTGTCCATAATCCACCATATTTTTAACAAAGGCACAATTTATAATTCATTCTCTCATGAAAACTTCGACAAATATACTGTTTTGTCAATTATCATTTATTGGAAGCATTATTCGTGCATGTGATATATTTTGATATTTGTTCCACACATTGACGTGGTGCATTTTTTTCTTATTGACAAAGGTGATACGGGGTGCACCTCGTATATTTATTTGGATTAATATCCTCACATACACGGTTTTACAGGGTGCACCACAAAGTTTTCTGTTTGTATGCACAACTACCTCTCCAACCGTCCGTCTGTCCATTTTTCTGACAACACACCACAAACACTGATTTGAGACATCTTACAGCATCCAAACACAATACTTGTTGTGATATTTCCAAATTGTAAATATTGCACTTTAACGCATAAAAAATATCTCTTCGTTTTACTTTCTATAATGAACATCAAAGAAAATCTCTCTTGCCTCAGGCAACACATTTTCGCTTGCTAAGGATGTTGTTCAATACGATGATCTTCTTTTTACACCAGAGATGAAGAAGTGATCGTGAGTGATGTTGATCCCTGGGAGTTTGAGGATGTTGCAGCATTTTTGAAATATTCCCAGCAAACAAAATGACACTGCTCTTTGAGCTTTTAAAATATTTTTTGCTGAAACTGTTTGTTACACTTCCGAAATTCAAGTTTTTTACGTTCATAGTTATTTGACTCAACCTATATCCAGTATGATGAAATAAAAGAAAAATACATAACTAATCGATTTTATGGTATTCCGTATCAATATAATTTAATTGATTACTAAATTGAAATATATTTAAAATAAATATATATTTTATAGCTGGAACTCCTTCAAAATTTGTCAGATTGAATGTATTTTTCGAGAACAGCATTTGATCGTTGTCCTTGTTCTTACACATACATCCTATAACTGTTCGAGACTCAACAAGACAATGCTTCATCTGGAAATATAAATGTAGAAACGTAAAGTCATTGGGATTGTGTTATTGGCTGTTAGATGCCGATATCATGGATTGTATGACTATCTCATAGAATATTCACAATCATATTTTCAAAGGATGTGAAACCATCATGTTTTATGTAAATGTTCACCATTCCTCCTAGCCACACTAACAATGAAACTGAGATATTTGGAGTTAATTTGCGTGATTCCTGTCATAAACAGAGCGACAAATCATAGTTTTTATAGGTTGAGTTGTATTCTGTGTCACGGAGAGCATCTTTTAAACACTGAGCAAATTTTAAATCACATTCACAAACATCTTGTTGGCAGTACCAGTTACCTGAAAAAAAAAAACAAGTGAAATTGTAATTAGGAGAGGAAGCCTTTCAAACCAGAAATCACACCACAACTTGCTTTTATATTCTACGAAACTACCACTTTAAATTATATGCCCTAAATATACACGATCTAAATCATGAGAGTGATTAATTCAAAACTAACAACGTTGTAATATTCGAAGCCGCATAACGACATCGTCCTATCATCACTTATAGAGCATGGTACCACGTTCAGCCTGCTACATGTACTTACTCTACCTAATTAGATGGCATTCATGTCTGTTATGAATTTAGGCGTCGGAAGTGTTAAAGCATCATATCATTGTTGTGTTAGATATCAATAAATCCCATAGGAAAATTATTACACTATTTGTAAACACGGGATAATAAACCAGTTGAAAACTGTAACTTTTAACGAGTTGTTTTTAATAACTTTACGTAAGATATATATAGATATTATTCAGAAAATCATAAAAGAAGAAAGAACACACACAAAAGTTGATATTCATGAAATTCTAAAAATGAACTTCATTGAATAAAACAAAATTGCTTGGCATATATACTGACAGTGAACGGCAACAAAAAACAATCCGGTACTTCGCGAAAGTTTACAAACCCTGGAATCACTTTTCTTTCCTTCTACTTCTTAGTATGGGATAGGGCAAGGGTTTTTAGTTTATTCCCATATTTAAATGGAGAAAGTCGATCAGGAGAGTTGATGATTATTAGAAAATATCGTTTTAACATTAGTTTGTTGTCTTTCCTGTATCGGAACAAATTACAATGTACGTCTTTCTTTTGTGCATATACGTGATTTATGCTGAATTGTTTATTACCTGTGCACATGCAAATAACCGTCCTATCATCACAGGTATACCAATAGTGAGTCAGCTGAGGAAGGTACCAATGACATCTGTTTAGGTTACCGTAGCAGATATCATGTTCATAACAACACCTGAAAAAATGGCGGAAATATCATTTAAATATTTAGTTTACTTAAAGCCACGTTTATCACCAATTAGAATTGCAATATTTCTAACTTCAAGATCAAACAATAATCAATAAAACAAGAGGTCCAAGGGGCGTGTATCATCCCTGGTTAATTTTTTATATAACTTCCCTATTAGAACATGGCACTATGGTCATACAGAAGTCTTAAACTTTTCATAAAAAATGCTTCAGACTAGGCTTTAAGAACTTATCATTCACCAATTGGACCCATCCCTCCCGCGCTATATTACCAGGATGCATAGCTTATACAGATCTGATTCCTCATCACCAAAGAATATTTCAGACCAAGTTTGGGCAATATCAAATCATTCCTACAGGAGGAGTAGAATTACAAAGAAATTGCAAAATTTCCCTTTTTGGACCCCGCACCTCCGCCCCCTGGACGGTCCGATAACCAATAATTATACAAATTCCCCTTCACCAAGAATGCTTCTGGCCAAATTTGATCAAAATCTGTTATATTGTTCATAACTAGACGCCGCATCTTGGCATAAGCTCACTGGTCCTTCGGACCTGGTGAATTGAAAACACGAGTAAATTATCTGTAATTTAAATGATTGACAATTTACACCCTCCGGATTAAAAGTCCAGCTTCCAAGACATCTATTTACAATGGACATTACCTACATATATGTATTAATGGTCCAGAGAACCAACCATCTCCTTTTTACCATTACTGTTCATACATGTATAACACAGGGAAGATATATGTAGGATCTTAGAGATTTCCAAGATGTTTACTTGTTGAGCAACTTCTGGTTATAAAATGAAGCTATTTTATTTCACAGGATTACTTAACATTTAATTTACCTATCGATGTTATCAAGAGGGTTATGTCCGTGTTGTCCAAGACCACAAAAGCATCCATAATCATTGACGACAAGACATGACTGTTGAGAATGGTAATATATCAAATCACAAAGTTGGAACAGACTCCTCTTCTGGATCGATCGTGAAACCCCTGTCCTCACTGCCATAAACAAATGCCTGTCATTAGAATACCTTATTTAAGAAAAGCATTTGAACCGGAAACTGTGAAATTAAACATAAGCACATGCCCACCACAAAAGCTGCTTTTTTTACAGGGAATAGTGAATATACAATAAGCAATGTAACTTTATTGCTGACTTTGGTAATTTTTTTTCCGTGAGAGAAGGAAACACATGTTGATTAATAATAAGACCGGTTTGGGAAGGCGACAGGAAGGCTATGAGGAGAACTTCCTGCTTATATAGAGCGCTGCGAGACTTTATAATACTTTTTCACAGACAATCTTGTGAAACGTTACCTTTGTATGATAAAATAATGGTAGTGAATAGGACTAATTTCAGGTCCATTGGTCCAGTCAGTCGTGATATCAGTTCTGAAAATTAAAGATAACAATAAAGATTTAAAATATGTAGAGAACATAACCGGAACAGAAGGCACACCAAAAACAAAACCAAGTGATAAACATGTACAGCGGATATGTATGTGTTACCAGTATGAAGTGCAAACATTGTGGCTTCTACTAATCCATTTTCAGGCGGTTGGTAATACATTTTGTTGCATTATAACTAGTGTGTGATAGCTCACACCTATCCCAACATTATATATATGACAGTCCTTGGTGTCTCTTTGATGAATGTGCCTCCCATGTAACACTCTGCAATTCTTCTGAGCCAGATATTTATATCATTCACTGAAGCGTTAGATTAAATGTAGGTCAAAATTCGAACCAATACCATATTCTGTAAAACAGTCTTTGTTGTATCAAGTGTACAACTGCAGTTTACATTATCAAAATACTAGAAATGATATCGCCGATGTAAAGGACTGTATAGAAGGCCTAGAAATGAAGTTTTAACAATAAATATATAGAATCTGAAATTAAAATAAAATACAAAAGGTAAAAACATCAAAATGTCTAAATTTGAAATAAGAAAAAATAATGAAATGAAAAGTAAAACTCCAAGTGATAACTTAAAGCTACTGAAATCTGGCGGTGAAAGAAATGAAGGAAAAATACCGATAAACTCCCTTTTTAAAGTGTCATAAAGTTATATGTTACCCATGTACCTTTTTATGTCGTCAACCCTGTAATGATTCTTATAGCCACAATAGTGATCTCATTGAGAAATATTTTTTGGGATTAACCGAAATTTACATGACGGGTGTCATCAAAGAAGCAGAAGACTTTCTCTTCCGGAACACCATGTCTTAATATCCGTGTAAATTTTCAGAAGTCTCCGCGTAAACTTTCTTCTGTTCATATTTTGCCCTAGTTTTATCGAATCTTAGTTTGGATTGTGAATATGTTGCCATGCTGGTATTTCTTGATGTTTTCATACTCTGAAATAACAAGCAAGGAGGTAGAAAGAGCAATCAGGTATTTGAAATACGATCAAACGTGCTGTAATAATCAAATGTTGATTAAGATTCTGAAACAAAAATGGCTACCATATATGTCAAAGTATTAAATATTAATTTTGATAAGTGGAAATTTTCAACTATCGACTTATGGAACCAAAATATACTAAACGCCAATTATTATTGTTAGCTGTTTTGAGAAGAAGTTTACTAGTATATTGGAGCAAGGTTACAAAAAGTGACCATTAGTTTGATACAGTAAAACCAGATTGGATTCGAAAAAAAATATTGTAGTATTGATAACATTTTTGTACTTTATTCCTTAGTCAATTTCACAAAAAAATGAAAAGTTAATTTATTTTGTGCACTTATTGACTTTGAAAAGGCTTTTGATAGAGTGTGGCGCTATGGATTGTGGAACAAAATGTTAAGTAAGATTAGTGGGAAAGTTTATACAATTATCTAAAACAATGTACAAAGGCATTGAGTCAAATATATATTTTAATGGTGGATTTTCTTGTTATTTTCCATGTTAGTATTTGAACGATCTTGAAGAGTATGTATTTCAAAATCATGTGCAGGAGGTAATAAATTATGAAATGATTTACATATTTTTAATAAAGTTGATTGAAGGTGACGACTCCAACTGCCCCTCTGATTCACAGGTACAAGTAAATGTATTCAGTGAACAGAGTAACAAGTGCAAATTAAACGCTAATATAAGTAAATCATAATATATATATATATACCTACAACAGCAATGCTTGGTGTTGAAGTGAACGATAGACTAAGAAACCAACCAGTCCGTTGTTTACATGACTTAAACGAAAAGAAAAAAGTGAAACCAATATTGCTATATGTGACATATGGTGTTTTACAGACCTTAAACTAATTGAGGGTGTTCATTAAAAAAATTGCCAACATTAACTAGGGTTAAAAGTAGCACTCTGAATTACATGGTATATGAGGAATTAGGTACATGCCCCCTAGGAATATAAGTTAAAACAAGAATGTTAACGTATTGGTCACATTTAACACAATATTATACAAACTTTTATGTCATAACCAATGTGTTGATGATAAGCCTTTTGTATATATAAGCTTTAATGAGTTTTAAAAGAATATGGTATTAACTATTTGACTATTTATGGAATGCTGAATAAACTGCAGAATTTGATACTAAATGGTTGAAAAATATGATTTAGCGAAGAATATACGGCTAATATTTCCAAAAATGAAAAGTAATTATTCAAAAACAACATCTTATAGAATTTCTAAAAACAACGGTCAATTTGAATATTATTTCGATAACTTAAGTGACTAAGGTATGCTTACATTTCGAACAACCAACCAGAGATATATGATTGAGATTGTTAGATCTTGTGATATTGAGTATAAAGAAAATGTTCATATTGTGACACACAAGAAACTGGTCACAGATTTTATTACCTACTTAAATGACCTTCATTACCTGTCTGCATAACCTAAATATATAGAGATATTTACGGATGAGACCTAACGTAATTAAATTCAAGGAATCAATTAATACTACTAATTTTAAAAATAATTTATGATAATTTTATCCTCCTTGATAAGAATTTGCAGTATGTAATATCCATCGATATTTTGAACACAATAGTTATAGTGTATTATACTGTAAATATATTTCTTTATTAATTGAATTGTGAAAAAATTTGATTGATTGATTGATTGATTCAATTCGTTCATTCATTGTAGTTTTCTAGGTATATGTATTTTATGTACTAGTATATTTTTACTGAACAGAAGTTTGATTTGTTTGGTTGTGGGATTATCTTCCTGTTAACAGCCGGAATTATTTTGAGGCGGTGTCTGCTTGCTGAAGCTGGTGGCTGCCTCACTGAACAACATACGGGATGTTCACAAATAAAACTTTGAGTTTGGATACTTAATGAGGCATGCAATTAAGGTCCAATTTAGCATCGACAACATAAATAATATGACACGTGGTAAAGAAATATTCATCCTTTACGGATGTTATTTGTTGTACATGTGATATTTGATATCAATTCACATCATAAGATAATTGATTCACAATCAACAGTAAACAAACAACAGGATGTAGGATACATCACGATACAGCGAAAGCCTTAACGAATTCCATGAAAACGCCGGAAGTGCAATCACGTGGTCCAGAAATAGGATAATCTTATGTCACACTTGGTTCTCCTCTTGGGCTATCACCATCCGATTCCAGGAAACAGGAAATATGTAATGTGAAAATACCAAAGATGTGTCCATATTTTGTTCACATGTAATCGCTTTATACTTCACTGACAATCATCACAGTAGCAGTATGGGGCAGTTTAAACATTATTTTGCTATATTGCTATATAAGTTTGAATTTAAATTTGTTAATAACTTAAATGTCTTTTGTGCAATTTTGATTTTTTGAAAATGTCACATACCTCGATTGTGTCTTTTGTGCAATTTTGATTTTTTGAAAATGTCACATACCTCGATTGTGTCTTTTGTGCAATTTTGATTTTTTGAAAATGTCACATACCTCGATTGTGATATGAATTTTGAATTGAGGCGCTATCAATTCTTGACCATTCGGCTATGCAAAAAATTATTTTCTTCAACTATAACGATGTTATATTAGAAAATCCTCATCATCGAGAGCATCCAGATATCGATATGACTGCCCGTCTGGCCTTTAACCTTCCCAATGATAAATCTGACTGGCGTTCGGTACCTTTATCATCCTGATAATACGTTTCCCTGTGAATATAACATCATATGTATGCGTGATCTATGCTATTTGACCCCGGTGTCCAAATGACATTCAATATCTGCACTGTTAGTACATGTATCTGTGATATAACTGGCTATATCAGACAATTTGATCTCTGTCTGCTCTATCGACTTTCTCTCTTCAAATTATTCCTCCAAAAACAAAAAGTATCTATTCTTCTGGAATACAAACAATCTTTTTATTCAATGATTAACTTTTTGCTAAGTCTATGGAGTCATTAATCTACTGGAGTACGTGATAAATTGTATAAACACGAAGGTAACAAATCTACTGGAGTACGTGATAAAATGTATAAACACGAAGGTAACAAATCTACTGGAGTACGTGATAATTGTATAAACACAAAGGTAACAAATCTACAGAGGAGGAGAAAGAGGAGAAGGAGGAAGAAGAGAAAGAGGAGGAGGAGAAACAGGAGTAGGAAGAGGAGAGGAGGAGGAAAGAATGGAGGAGAGGAGGGGAGAAAATGGAGTAGGAGGAGGAGAGGAGAAGGATAGGACATTTTTGATAACTCTTGTTCGTTTGTTAAGTAGTAATAATACCAAGTTCAGTCTTTCCTTTGAAAATTAATCACATATTTTCTAAGACGGAAGTCGTTGCCAATGGTAATAACACAAAAACATTCTGTACCTTTCGAATATCTTAGCTCACAATGTCATATGGCAGCGAATTTAAAGAAATCATTTCGTTTTCTTTTCCATGTGATTTACAAGAATCTAAGAATACTATCATCATTAACTTATTTCAAATAGGAAATAATTGACATGGAAAGACAGACATCGATAAAACGGCAGTCGATGTATACCGTTTGTCTCGGCCAATAGATGATTAATTCATATCAGATCTGTGTGAAGACACTAGGCATTATAAACAAGAACAAAGGTATATTGACCTGTTTTTATCTGCGGCCACAGGCGGTCATACAGTGATATCGTTGATCGGGTGATACCGTTCATCATAGATACAAATTTAACGGATAGGTCAATCAAGTAAACATCATTATGGAAACAGTTTGTTAATAAAGAATTCTATAAGTTAAATCAAACTGTGACTGTGATTTAAACACAAATTATTACAGGATATCATAGCTTATCAAATATTTGAAAATTGCGAAATTTCTTTCTTGAATTACAGAACTAACTCACCTCCCAACTTTTGACATTTATTTCGGTCACTCAAGATTTTAAGCTCTTAGCATCACTGACGAGTCCTTGTAGGACGAAACAGCTGTAAGATGTAGCATCACTGACGAGTCCTTGTAGGACGAAACAGCTGTATGATGTAGCATCACTGACGAGTCCTTGTAGGACGAAACAGCTGTGGATGTAGTTTACAACTGTCCATGCATTTGTTGATGTTTAACGTTGAAAGTATACTCATTTAAGTGTATGGAAATGCATTGTAACAAATGCTAGATTTATGTCGGAGTCTAATTTTAAACATTTTTTTTCATGAAAAATGTATGAGAAAAGTACATGAAACAGAACTTACCTTACGGTAGTAAATGTTTAACAACAACGACCTCCGTGTACCGCAACACTCAGACCAAACTAACAATATAGCATGTATGCTGGGTCTCTTTCTAACACGTGTAGCTATGATAAGAAGTTACGACACTGATGAGAATGGACATAATGACTTAGATGTTGTTGTCGACAAGGAAATCCACCACTACATACACGTAATAACCGTACATGTGCATTATATCAACATATGTTAACAGTGTATTGGCCTGCACTCTTGCTCACCTTGTATGACCTTCGTGGTATATGTAAAAAAAAAAATCGGCATTGTTATTGAATGTGTTATTATGTAAACAGATTTATGAGTGACACCATGTCAAGATAACACTCCTTTGTAGCAGCATACCAGTTTCGAGGTTGACGGCAATCATACGTCACAAAGGACATATTACACGAGCGGATTTGATTAACGCAATGCACTTTGTAATGGGCACGTCAAGCAGACAAACATGATCACAGTTGCCATTGTTTATTGCTTAATTAGTTCAGAAAAGAGATTTTAAAATCACTTTTGAGACATCAAGAGTTTATAAAATTATGTAATTATTTTAATGTTAAATCCAATCAGTTATTGCTATGACATACTTCATTTGAATTTTCTGAATGATCGGAATAGTTCAACAGCTCGTTATGGCTGTATAACATGCACTGTAAGTCAAACAAGACCCGATCCTAACATTTAATTACAGTCGTACATTAATAAAAGAAAAATTATTTTAATAATACTCGGTGTAAAGACTTTTTACTGCTCTTTAGTGTACCACTGAAGTAAAATGCGAAGGTGAAAATATATCTTTTCGTGAGTCATAATTTTCGTAGTTTAGAAAAATGGTCTCTTTTGTTGGTACTTGATTTTTCTGTATAGACAGAAAAATAAATCGACTTATACATACACCTATGTGTTTTGTACAATCCGTTTCAGTTCGTGGACATATACATTGTGGATTAAGAGTACCAAAGACATTAACGAAAATAAATCCCCACTAAGAATAACGATTTTAGCAGTTGTCCATTTAAAATAAAATGTCATATCTATTTCGACTTATTATCAAATTTAGAATCAAAACATCAAGACGAGTGAAAGACAGTCTAATACGAGTATTATATTGTTTATTTTTGTATTCTCGAACTATTGATTGCATTTCCATATGAAGACTCCTAAAAGTATTTGCTGTGTCTTGATTCATAACATTGCCTTTCTGATGGAATTTGGTAGATCATATCTGCACTCACATGTTATCGTACAGATGTACATTTATCCAGAAACACGTTTTTCTCTTCTGTAGGTGTGGTCAATATTTGACCGGGAGAAGTTTATTCCCACCGAAATGAATTGTTAATATTTAGTAAACAAACGTTCGTGCAAATTTCAAGTAAACGGAAACAAGATAAAAATCATTTTTCATCACTTACAAGTATTTTTTTAAAAATATATCAAGGTATCCATGGAAAAAAGAATTATCAAGTCCATAATCCAGGTTAAACCATACTTTCTCATTGTTGTATCAGGTATGTGCTTTGTCAACACTTGTTATATTTTATCATATGTCATTATCAATGTTAATTTAATTGGACTTCTGCTGTATTTTAACACGTTTTCATTCATAGTCACTTTTGATGTTTCTTCCTGCAGAAATATAACTTCAGAGAAATATTCCTGTGCTAGAACTGAGTTGAAAAAAGCTGTAATATTCTGTTATATTCAATTTTTTTCAGTTAGCATAAAAACACGCAGGACATTTGATTTATTTCTCAATGCCAACTTTAAAAATGTGTCATCTTTAAAACGTATGTTTTAATGTCAGATTTGGATTCTTCAGTGAACTTAATGCCAGAACAAAGTTTCCTTTAGGAAATCAATGCCTTAATATTACGCCGCCAGATGAAACAATTATCCAAAAGAACTCGGTAATATCCCTGTATGTTATTTTGTTTTTTTCAATAGACAGGCAACACTTCCTGTTGTTCACTAGAATTTGTTGTTTTTCCTTTCGAATGCGAGACTTTCTCAATGCAAGGGCGCATTTACTGTAATTGGTAATTTTTTTCAGTGGCACGCGGTAATATCTCCACGTGAGGCCACGTTTATTGTTTTTGCCTGTACAGAGGCAACACTTCTTAATGTTTGAGATGATGCTTTGTTGTAGTTGTTTGCTGTCGTTGTCGTCATCATCGTCGTCGTTGTTCGTTGTTGTATGATGTTGTTGCAGTTTTTCATCGAAACCGTTGTTATCTTAGCAGGATGTTTAGTAACATGTATAATTGGTTCCAACAAAAAGATGACAGTTTCTCAATAACAGTTGCTGCTGTTTTCTGTTGTTGTTTTGTTGTTTTTTCACATTTGTTTCAAAAAACAAAAAGAATCGTATTAATTGTTTTTCTATTGAACGATGCTATTTTATCAGTGTCAGATTGCAGAGAGCGTCGAACTTTTTCCAAAAAGAATTTCTTTATCACTTATTTGAGGAGACATCTTCATAAAGTATGTAAATTTGTCTCTCATTCTTTCCCACGCCGCGATGAAACGTTTCCGTAGTTAAGTCAATTAATAGGATTAAAATAGCTGTTCCTCGTTAGGAAGGTTGATGACGTTCTTCCCAATGTAAACATCATTTTTAACCAAATGGACGTTGTACGTATTATACGTGTTATACGCTCCTTTTGCATTACTGCAAGTAAAACAAAAATGAGATCTTGACGCCCACCATTTTATGTCTTTTATTACTTCTATTTACGATGGATATTTTCTCTCCTTTCCGCTTTTGTCCTCTTATTTACCAATCTTGTTTGCCATTTCGTTTTCTAAAATTTAGTAGGGACAACAAAGCACCAACGTGGACTGACATTTGAGATTTCAGAATAACCCTCTTAAGAAAGTACAATAACTGACATTGTCGAAAGCAAAGATCAACCTTTTCAAATTTGAACATACAAAACAAGAGATAACAGGTTGAATTACATACGCAATTTGAATACCATCCACGACTTCCCAGGAAATAGGGACAGCAAGCATTACCTGTTGATAGGTGGGATGATTTAAAGAAAAATAAGAAATATCTATCCATTGCTTCAACAAGAACAACAAGAAAAAAACAACATGTCAACATAATACTAATCCAAACTGAAATTCGATAAAACTAGGGCAAAACATGAACAAAAGATTTCCTATGATATTTCTGAAAAAAATACAAAGGAAAATAAGACCAGGTGTTCCGGATGTGTTAGCGTCTTGTGCTTCATCGATGCCATCCGCCATGTAAAGATTGGTCATTCGAAGTAAGTAATGTCACGTTCTCAATTGAGAAGGTATACAATAACAGAACCAAAGGGCAAACTAAAGATCAGCAAACACGTACACACCGCTCCACACCGCAACGACTACAAAACATTCAATAATCAAAATTTAGCAATGACAAATTTCCGATATCAGAATTTAAGATGACTTATCTGGTTATCATCTGTTCCAAAATTAATCATGCACGACCACGGACCACCGAGGGTCTAGTGCTTCTGTAGAAATAACGATACCAAACTTCAATTGACATGTTTGAATTTTCAATTTGTCCTATAATTAAAATGCAGAAACCAAGCCCACAGGCAACATACACATTAAATTTGATAATGATCGACCAAGTACTTATCAAGAAATAGTGACAAGAATAATTTGGTCCTAGGACAGACGAAACGACGGTGGGCGCAAGAACGAACCACGGACGAAAGGTGATTTGAAGAGTCAAGCATTTAATGCTGATTGGCTTAAACCCAGGTTCTATTACCAGTATTTCGATGTTTAGGTAAATGTTCAACAATTGATAACTTATTAACTGTTCCATGAAAACTGAAATATAGATAAACACAATTATCAGAATACTTCCTGTTAGAGAAAGAAATTGTAAATCAACAAATTTTCTGATTGGATTTAGAATAGATTCTTTCTTTTGAAATACTTAATTTTAGATAGTATTGAATATTCTACCCTGACAAACAATTGAAATTAACCAAACTTGTAGAAAGAAAGGATTACAAGTATAAAAAAACGAAAGTCAACACAACCATCTAGGAATAAGAGTAAAGAGGTTCCCGTAAAATATTCCCGTCTTAGATGTTTCGGTTACAAGTGATTTGTTTTGTTTTTGTCTACTAAATCAAGTTTCCCTTATGTCCATTCTTTAGCTTTATTTTTTTATAGCGGCCTATCCTGTACATCCTGGATTTTCCAGGGGTTACGATCACTCTCCTCTACATCCCTGGCACATTTTCTGCACCACTGAGACATTTCATGGCAATATTGAAGATTCCATGTATAATACCTTGTACGAAGTTTGATCTTTTAATATACGTCAAAATAGGTCACATAACGGTTTACTGTACTAGCTTTGAAGTTGGGCGTCGCTTCTTTGTAATCTTCAAAATCTTCAGTCTGTGATTGGTCAATTCTCCTGAAACCCGCTCTAGAACAATCCAATCGTGTTCAAAATGGTGCAAAGAGCGATAATGATCGTAACATCAAGAGTATCGAGGATATCCCTAGTTGACTTGTAAACTAAAGGATAAATTAAAATCTTACAAATTTGTGGTCATATATCAATTACCTACATGTACTTGCAGTTAGAACAACTACCTACATAAGTACATGCAGAAGAACAAACTACCTTCTGAGCTGTAGTCGGACAAAGTCTCTACAGAGCTGTAGTCGGACTATCAATCTACATAACTACTTGTAGTTGGGCCTATTAACTTTCTTCAAAGTTACTTGTTTTCAAACTAACAAATTACAGAACTGTAGTCGGATTAATTATCTACATAGCTACATGTAATTGGGCCTATAAACTTTCTTCAAAACAACCTGTTGTCGGATTAACTACCTACTTGTCCTGTAGTTTAGGATGACTTATCGATGCTGTTGGGTGTACTCGACTGGTGGAAGCCACAGACTCAGCTGGGATTGTCCTGTTGGAGTTAACGACCCTAGGTACTACTTGATTCTGATTTCGTTTAAATAGCTTTTTGACCGACTCCCTGAATTTGCTGCTCAACACTCCATACACAATTGCGTTTGACAGAGTGGAAGATTTAGCCATCATTGTTGGTAATACGTGAACCCAAGGTTCAACGTCACCGACAAACATGACCCATATGCTGAGGAACGTATACGGTGTCCACGCTAATATATAGGACAGTAGCATTCCAACGCACATCTGGAAAGATAAAAAGGATATCATAGTCAAAAAGAGAATTTAATATTAATACTATCGAAAAGTTTACACATTCATCATAATAACTCTCCTACCCTGCATCTTAAGACTTGCTATTTTTAGAATTACGAGTATCAGTATACTTGTATACTTACATCATTTATTCACACATCAAGAAAATCTTACAATATACATACAGAAATAATGTCATTATTAATTTAAAGCGATATTGATTTTTATCAAACTCAACTCTTCAATAATTTAATGATATTCAATACAAACGAAACATATGTTAAAGGGAGGTAAATCAAGACAGCTTGGATTGGAGTTGAAATAGCGTATATTTCGGCAAGTAAATCTTGTACAGTTGTTGTATAGTGGCTACAGTCATTAACATAAACATTAGTGTTATTAAATAAATACTTATATAATTATATACTCTTAATGAGGTTTCGTCTAAGTATATTACACATCTCTACCAGGCAATCAAAGGTATTTAAAACAACGTATATCAAATAAAAAATTATTATTCATATATTGAACCGTATGAGTATTTTCAAAATGCTAAAATTACCATTGTCACTTTACGAGAAGTGGTAACGTTATGGTAGGATACCACCGTCTCCAGGTTGAATGTGTCCTCAGTGTTTCGTTGATTGACCCTTGTAGATCTTAATGCTAATCCAATTTCTGACTTATTTGTCCTTACATACTTTTTAATGACGTTAAAATAAGAAAAACAACAGATGAAGACATGAAAAACATAACACGTAAACGTTATGGATATATTGTAGCTTATATCCAAGATGGATCGACCTCCCCAGTTTATGGTACAAGACGTTCCGTATGCCTCGAAAGTGTACGTGCTCCAGCCTAATAAAGGTGGACCAGTCCATAGAAATGCATAAGCCCATATCACCAACAGAAAATACTTAGCATTTTTCTTTGCTAAAAGATAATCTGAAACAGAAAGTACACGCAAGCCTTAAGTACAAATATGTGAAATTGTGAAAAAAAAAAAAAAACAACCAAAAACACACACACAAGCAAATACACATTTCCGTACAAATTCGGGGTTAGATCAAGCTTAGTCAAAGGACGGACACAAACTTATTGAGTTCCATTCATGTAATATTTATGAAGTGAGTCTTCAAATGTTTCGTTTTATCGAGCTCCTGGTGAAGTGAAATTATAAAGTTATAAATTATAAATACAAGTTCCATCAGTCTCATATGAAATTGCAACTCATTCAATTTTGAATCACAACACTTTAACATTTTTACAATATTCGTGAAAAAATAAATTAAGACTGATACAAAATTAATTTTAAATGGCAAAATTCTCTTGACACACATACACTGATATTAGTGTAAGAACACATATGTGCTTTTTAATAATACTTAACGGAGCTGTGATGGGTGAAGTTCCTCAATGTTTCAATAAATAGTGACGTCATAACATCATGATGGCCATTGCAATGTGACGTCACAAAAGATCGATATATGCATTGAGAATTAATTTTTTCATCAGTCTAATAACCGATATTTTTACTATTACTTGCAGAAGTATGTGTATTTAAGTCGCATGATCAACAGAATCTTATAAATGTTCATCTAAATATGACAATCTTCGCAAATTGATTATCTTACATTGCCAGAGGCCCGCGTCAGAATTAAAAGAATCTTAGCGTAGTTTCATAAATGTCTTTTTTTTCTCTCGTTTTGAGTGTTTCATATAATATAAAGTAAGAACGTCATATTGGAATAAAAAAGAATTATCAACCTATCACAGCTCCTCTATTGATGACAAACAAACAAAGTTAAGAAAAAATATAAGCAATACCTTCTTCACAGTATTGCTCATTTATAATAATAATAAAAATCAACTCTCGTGTGATCCATCATTGTGTCTCCCTTCGATGTGACTAATGAACAAAATGTTATACACGGGCATAAGTCAGCTGACATCCTTCTCATAGAAAATATTTAAGGTTATGAGACTATGTTTTAATGAAACTGAATCATGTGTTTCCTAGTTAAATTTCAGTGCACACACTTTTATTATATCTGTAAAAACTATATATATATAAAGAGAGAATATGTGGCTAGTGTCTTAAAATATGAGCTGTATTTTGGCGAAGGTGAAGAAAGACAAAAGTTCCGAACCAAAATACAGCTTAAATTTTAAGACTCTGACCATGTATTCTATTTATCCTGCAAAATTGATTGAAAATGAGACTACTGAAACTTCAACAGTTTTGTTGTTCAATCTGTGTTTACCTGACATCGACGTTAAGCTGTATTTTGCCTGATGAGGGACGCAAAAATAATTGTCCCCACGGAAATATAGTGCAAAACTTCATCTGATATATCAGCGACTTTATGAATGTTCATAGATCAACATGTTCATTACGCTTATTTCGACAACTATCCATATTTCTAAACATAATATTTAAATGATTTCAGGCAGTATTTTTGTCGAATTACCGCACCCGCTAAAATACAGCGGTTTCCTGTCACTGCCGAATACAGAAAAACTATATGTGGCAGGTGTATTCCTACAAAAACAGTGCCAGTTGCAGGATATATGTGTATATATGTGTGTGTGTATATATACACTTATATATCCTGCAACAGGCACTGTATGTATATATATATATATATATATATCCACCTATCCTCGGCTTACACTAACTATGATCTACATTAATGTATAGAATCTGTGTGGTAGTTATCCGATCATGGCTTTCATGTACGATGAAACAGTTAAGTTCTCGATAAAAATCCAGAATCCTATTGCGCTTATCGATATCTAATCCTCATTAGTCATTATTGGATTTCGTTGTTTTATCAAGAAACCCTAAATCTTTATAACATACAAATGGCTTATCACTTAGTTCAATATCTTTTAATTCCGATTATATATACTTATTAAACCCTTTCACCAAAATGTTGTTTTCTGTTATAAAACATCATCGAACGGTGAGATAAGTACGACTTTTATGTTATATGGCTCAAAAGATACATTGTAAAATTAGAATCAAGCAATTCATCCTTGCCTTTGCGTTATTAACCGAAAACGAAAAATGAGAACAATATCGGTTTCTTTCTATAAACCTTGCTGTGAAAACTTATAGTATTTTATTGTGAGATCTGCCTAATAATCATATCATTTCATTTCAAAATTGTTCATATTATTTTTCATATTTTAAAGACAGTATGAAGAGACGCAAATTGTGAATGCTAGTTAGATTTTGCTTGAAAACATACTTGAAATATAATATAGCATTTGTATGAAAATATATTTAGAATATAATGGTAAAAATAAAAGAACTTGTCTGACTATATTCGGGTCTGACAGCAACGATGTAACGACATATAGCGATGACTGCTAGGGTGTTCATGTTCCCTACAGTGAGGCTGAAAACCCAGAATCCATAGAATGTGCAAGCTTCCTAACAAGAACTAATAAACCACACCAGTCAGTAACATTGTACCTTGCCAAGTTCTTACAATAAATAATAAACAACACCAGTAAGTAACGTTGTACCTAACCGATCTCCAACAATAAATAATAAAAAACACCAGTAAGTAACATTGTACCTATTCGAGCTCTAACAATAAATGATAAATAACACCAGTAATTAACATTGTATTTAACCGAGCTCTTACAATAAATAATAAAAAACACCAGTAAGTAAAATTGTACATAACCGTGCTGTTACAATAAATAATAAACAACACCAGCAAGTTACATTGTACTTTACCGAGCTCTAACAATGAATAATAAACAACACAAGTAAGTAGCATTGTACCTTACCGATCTCCAACAATAAATAATAAACAACACCAGTAAGTAGCATTGTACCTTACCGACACCAGTCAGTAAAAATTGTACCTTGCCAAGTTCATATAATAAATAATAAACACCAGTAAGTAACGTTGTATCTATTCGAGCTCTAACAATACATAATAAACAACACCAGTAAGTAACATTTTACCAAACCGAGCTCTTACAATAAATAATAAACAACACCAGTAAGATACATTGTACCTTACCGAGCTCTAACTATAAATAATAAACAACACAAGTAAGTAACATTGTACCTAACCGAGCTCTAACAATAAATAATAAACAACACCAGTAAGTACCATTGTACCTAAACGAGCTATAACAATAAATAATAAACAACACAAGAAAGTAACATTGTACCTTAGCGAGCTCTAACAATAAATAATAAACAACACCAGTAAGTAACATTGTACCTTACCGATCTCCAACAATAAATAATGAACTACACCAGTAAGTAACATTGTACCTAACCGATCTCCAACAATAAATAATGAACTACACCAGTAAGTAACATTGTACCTAACCGATCTCCAACAATAAATAATAAACAACACCAGTAAGTAACATTGTACCTAACCGAGCTCTAACAATAAATAATAAACAACACCAGTAAGTAACATTGTACCTAACCGTGCACAAATAATAAATAATAAACAACACCAGTAGGTAATATTTTATATAACCGAGCTCTAATAATAAATAAATAAACAACGCCAGTAAGTAACATTGTACCTAACCGATCACCAACAATAAATAATAAACAACACTAGTAAGTAATATTGTACCTAACCGAGCTCAAACAATAAATAATAAACAACACCAGTAACTAACATTGTACCTAACCGATCTCCAACAATAAATAATGAACTACACCAGTAAGTAACATTGTACCTAACCGAGCTCTAACAATAAATAATAAACAACACCAGTCAGTAACATTGTACCTAACCGAACTCAAACAATAAATAATAAACAACACCAGTCAGTAACATTGTACATTACCAAGTTCTTACAATAAATAATAAACAACACCAGTAAGTAACATTGTACCAAACAGAGCACCAACAATAAATAATAAACAACACCAGTAAGTAACGTTGTACCAAACCTATCTCCAACAATAAATAATAAACAACACCAGTAACTAACATTGTACCTAACCGATCTCCAACAATAAATAATGAACTACACCGGTAACTAACATTGTACCTAACCGATCTCCAACAATAAATAATAAACAACACCAGTAAGTAACATTGTACCTAACTGATCTCCAACAATAATAATAAACAACACCAGTAAGTTATATTATAACTAACCGAGCTTTTACAATAAATAATAAACAACACCAGTAAGTAACGTTGTATCTATTCGAGCTGTAACAATATATAATAAACAACAACAGTAAGTAACATTGTTCCTAAGAGAGCACCAACAATAAATAATAAACAACACCAGTAAGTAACATTGTACCAAACAGAGCACCAACAATAAATAATAAACAACACCAGTAAGTAACATTGTACCAAACAGAGCACCAACAATAAATAATAAACAACACCAGTAAGTAACGTTGTACCAAACCGAAACAACTAAGTAACATTGTACTCTTAATAAATAATAAACAACACCAGTAAGTAACACTGTACCTAACCCTGCTCTAAAAATAAATAATAAACAACACCAGTAAGTAACATTGTACCTAACCGATCTCCAACAATAAATAATAAACAACACCAGTAAGTAACATTGTACCTAACCGAGCTCTTACAATAAATAATAAACAACACAAGTAATTAACATAGTACCTGATCTGGCTCTTAAAATCAATAATAAACAACACCAGTAAGTAACATTGTACCAAACCGAGTTCTAGAAATATATAATAAATAACACCAGTAAGTAACATTGTACCTAACTGATCTCCAACAATTAATAATAAACAACACCAGCAAGTTAAATTGTAACTAACCGAGCTCAAATAATAAATAATAAACAACACTAGTAAGTAACATTGTACCTAACCGATCTCCAACAATAAATAATGAACAACACCAGTAAGTAACATTGTACCTAACCGATCTCCAACAATAAAAATTAAACAACACTAGTAAGTAACATTGTACCTAACCGATCAACAACAATAAATAATAAACAACACCAGTAAGTAACATTGTACCTAACCGATCTCCAACAATAAATAATAAACAACACCAGTAAGTAACATTGTACCTAACCGAGCTCTTACAATAAATAATAAACAACACCAGTAAGTAACATTGTACCTAACCGAGCTCTAAAAATAAATAATAAACAACACCAGTAAGTAACATTGTACCTTACCGATCTCCAACAATAAATAATGAACTACACCAGTAAGTAACATTGTACCTAACCGAGCTCTAACAATAAATAATAAACAACACCAGTAAGTAACATTGTACCTAACCGAGATCTTACAATAAATAATAAACAACACATGTACGTAACATTGTACCTAACCGTGCTCTTACAATAAACAATAAACAACACCAGTAAGTAACATTGTACCTAACCGTGCACAAACAATAAATAATAAACAACACCAGTAAGTAACATTGTACCTAACCGATCTCCAACAATAAATAATAAACAACACTAGTAAGTAACATTGTACCTAACCGATCTCCAACAATAAATAATAAACAACACTAGTAAGTAACATTGTACCTAACCGATCAACAACAATAAATAATAAACAACAACAGTAAATAAGATTGTACCTAACCGATCTCCAACAATAAATAATAAACAACACTAGTAAGTAATATTGTACCTAACCGAGCTCTAACAATAATTAATAAAACAAACCAGTAAGTAACATTGTACCTAACCGATATCCAACAATAAATAATAAACAACACTAGTAAGTAACGTTGTAAATAACCGCGCTCTTACAATGAATAATAAACCAAACCAGTAAGTAGCATTGTACTTAACCGATCTCCAACAATAAATAATAAACAACACCAGTAAGTACCATTGTACCTTACCGAGCTCCAACAATAAATAACTAACAACACCAGTAAGTAGCACTGTACCTAACCGATCTCCAACAATAAATTATTAACTACACCGTTAAATAACCAAGTACCTAACCGAGCTCCAACAACAAATAATAAACAACACCAGTAAGTAACATTGTACCTAACCGAGCTCTAACAATAAATAATAAACAACACCAGTAAGGAGCATTGTACCTATTCGAGCTTTAATAATAAATAATAAACCACACCATTAAGTAGTGATGTACCTTACCGATCTCCAACAATAAATAATGAACTACACCAGTAAGTAACATTGTACCTAAACGAGCTCCAACAACAAACCTTAAACAACACCGGTAAGTAACATTGTACCAAACCGATCTCCAGTAAATAATAAACAACACCAATAAGTAACATTGTACCTAACCGATCTCCAACAATAAATAATAAACAACACCAGTAAGTAACATTGTACCTAACCGAGCTCTTACAATAAATAATAAACAACACCAGTAAGTAACGTTGTACCTAACCGATCTCCAACAATAAATAATAAAAAAACACCAGTAAATAACATTTTACCTAACCGAGCTCTTACAATAAATAATAAACAACACCAGTAAGTAACATTGTATCTATTCGAGCTCTAAAACTATATAATAAACAACACCAGTAAGTAACATTGTACCAAACCGAGCTCCAACAATATATAATAAACAACACCAGTAAGTAACATTGTACCTAACCGATCTCCAACAATAAATAATGAACTACACCAGTAAGTAACATTGTACCTAACCGATCTCCAACAATAAATAATGAACTACACCAGTAAGTAACATTGTACCTAACCGATCTCCAACAATAAAAATTAAACAACACCGGTAAGTAACATTGTACCAAACCGATCTCCAACAATATATAATAAACAACACTAGTAAGTAACATTGTACCTAACCGATCAACAACAATAAATAATAAACAACACCAGTAAGTAACATTGTACCTAACCGATATCCAACAATAAATAATAAACAACACTAGTAAGTAACGTTGTAAATAACCGCGCTCTTACAATGAATAATAAACAACACCAGTAAGTAACATTGTACCTAACCGATCTCCAACAATAAATAATAAACAACACCAGTAAATAACATTGTACCTAACCGATCTCCAACAATAAATAATAAACAACACCAGTAAGTAACATTGTACCTAACCGAGCTCTTACAATAGATAATAAACAACACCAGTAAGTAACATTGTACCTAACCGAGCTCCAACAATAAATAATTAACAACACCAGGAAGTAACACTTTACCTAACCGAGCTCTAACAATAAATAATAAACAACATCAGTAAGTAACATTTACCTAATCGAGCTCTAACAGTAAATAATAAACAACACCAGTAAGTAACATTGTACCTAACCGAGCTCTAACAATAAATAATAAACAACACCAGTAAGTAACATTGTACCTAACCAAGCTACAACATTAAATAATAAAGAACACCAGTAAGTAACACTGTACCTAACCGTGCTCTAACAATAAATTATTAACTACACCGGTAAGTAGTATTGTACCTTGCCGCGTGTTTACAATAAATAATAAATAACACCAGTAAGTAACAGTGTACCTTACTGAGCTCTAACAATAAATAATAAACAACACCAGTAAGTAACATTGTACCTAACCGAGCTCCAACAATAAATAATAAACAACACCAGTAAGTAACATTGTACCTAACCGTGCTCTAACAATAAATGATTAACTACGCCGGTAAGTAACATTGTACCTAACCGAGCTCTAACAATAAGTAACAAATAACACCAGTAAGTAACATTGTACCTAACCGAGCTCCAACAATAAATAATAAACAACACCAGTAAGTAACATTGTACCTAACCGAGCTCTAACAATAAATAATAAACAACACCAGTAAGTAACATTGTACCTAACCGATCTCCAACAATAAATAATAAACAACACCAGTAAGTTACATTGTACCTAACCGCGCTCTTACAATAAATAATAAACAACACATGTACGTAACGTTTTACCTATTCGAGCTCCAACAATAAATAATAAACAACACCAGTAAGTAACATTGTACCTAACCGAGCTCCAACAATAAATAATAAACAACACCAGTAAGTAACATTGTACTTGATCTGGCTCTTACAATAAATAATAAACAACACCAGTAAGTAACATTGTACCTAACCGATCTCCAACAATAAATAATAAACTACACCAGTAAGTAATATTGTACCTAACCGAGCTCTAACAATAATTAATAAAACAAACCAGTAAGTAACATTGTACCTAACCGATATCCAACATTAAATAATAAAAAACACCAGTATGTAACATTGTACCTAACCGAGCTCCAACAATAAATAAAAAAAGACACCAGTAAGTAACATTGTACCTAACCGAACTCTAACTATAAATAATAAACAACACCAGTAAGTAACATTGTACCTAACCGATCTCCAACAATAAATAATAAACAACACCAGTAAGTAACATTGTACCTAACCGAGCTCTTACAATAAATAATAAACAACACCAGTAAGTAACATTGTACCTAACCGAGCTCCAAAAATAAATAATAAACACCAGTAATTAACATTGTACCTAACCGAGCGCTAACAAAAAATAAAAAACAACACCAGTAAGTAATATTTTACCTAACCGAGCTCCAACAATAAATAATAAACAACACCAGTAAGTAACATTGTAAGAAACCGATCTCCAACAATATATAATAAAAAACACTAATGAGTAACATTGTACCTAACCGATCACCAACAATAAACAATAAAAAAACCAGTACGTAACATTGTACCTAACCGGTCTCCAACAATAAATAATAAACAACACCATAAAGTAATATTGTACCTAACCGAACTCTAACAATAAATAATAAACAACACCAGTAAGTAACATTGTACCTAACCGAGCTCTAAAAATAAATAATAAACAACACCAGTAAGTAACATTGTACCTAACCGAGCTCCAACAATAAATAATAAACAACACCAGTAAGTAGCACTGTACCTAACCGATCTCCAACAATAAATAATAAACAACACCAGTAAATAACATTGTACCTAACCGATCTCCAACAATAAATAATAAACAACACCAGTAAGTAACGTTGTACCTAGCCGGGCTCCAACAATAAATAATAAACAACACCAGTAAGTAACATTGTACCTAACCGAGCTCCAACAATAAATAATAAACACCAGTAAGTAACACTGTACCTAACCGAGCTCCAACAATAAATAATAAAGAACACCAGTAAGTAACATTTTACCTAACCGAGCTCCAACAATAAATAATAAACAACACCAGTAAGTAACACTGTACCTAACCGAGCTCTTGAAATAAATAATAAACCACACCATTAAGTAGCATTGTACCTTGCCGAGTTCTTACAATAAATAATAAAGAACACCAGTAAGTAATATTGTACCTAACCGAGCACCAACAATAAATAATAAACAACACAGGTAACTAACATTGTACCAAATCGATCTCCAACAATATATAATAAACAACAGCAGTAAGTAACATTGTACCTAACCGAGCTCCAACAATAAATAATAAAGAACACCAGTAAGTAACATTGTACCTAACCGAGCTCCAACAATAAATAATAAAGAACACCAGTAAGTAACATTGTACCAAACCGATCTCCAACAGTAAATAATAAACAACACCAGTAAGTAACATTGTACCTAACCGATCTCCAACAATAAATAATAAACAACACCAGTAAGTAAAACTTGTACCTAACCGATCTCCTACAATAAATAATAAACAACACCAGTAAGTAACACTGTACTTAACCGAGCTCTTGAAATAAATAACAAACAACACCAGTAAGTAATATTTTACCTAACCGAGCTCCAACAATAAATAATAAAGAACACCAGTAAGTAACATTGTACCTAACCGAGCTCCAACAATAAATAATAAACAACACTAGTAAGTAACATTGTACCTAACTGATCTCCAACAATAATAATAAACAACACTAGTAAGTTATATTATAACTAACCGAGCTTTTACAATAAATAATAAACAACACCAAAGAAATAAAAATAATAAACAACACCAGTAAGTTAAATTGTACCTATTTGAGCTCCAACAATAAATAATAAACAACACCACTAAGTAACATTGTACCTAACCGAGCTCCAATAATAAATAATAAACACCAGTAATTAGCATTGTACCTAACCAAGCTCCAACAATAAATAATAAACAACACCAGTAAGTAACATTGTACCTAACCGATCAACAACAATAAATAATAAACAACAACAGTAAATAAGATTGTACCTAACCGATCTCCAACAATAAATAATAAACAACACTAGTAAGTAATATTGAACCTAACCGAGCTCTAACAATAATTAATAAACCAAACCAGTAAGTTACATTGTTCCTAACCGATATCCAACAATAAATAATAAACAACACTAGTAAGGAACATTTTACCTAACCGAGCTCTAACAATAATTAATAAACCACACCAGTACGTAACATTGTATCTTAACGATATCCAACAATAAATAATAAACAACACCAGTATGTGACATTGTGCCTAACTGAGCTCAAACAATGAATAATAAACCAAACCAGTAAGTAACATTGTACCTGGCCGAGTCCTTACAATCGATAATAAACAACACTAGTAAGTAACATTGTACCTAACTGATCTCCAACAATAATAATAAACAACACCAGTAAGTAACATTGTACCTTACCGAGCTCTAACAATAAATAATAAACAACACCATTAAGTAACACTGTACCTAAACGTGCTATAACAATAAATAATAAACAACACCAGTAATTAACATTGTACCTAACCAATCTCCAACAGTAAATAATAAACAACACCGGTAACTAACATTGTACCTAACCGATCTCCAACAATAAATAATAAACAACACTAGTAAGTAACTTTGTACCTAACCGAGCTCTAAGAATAAATAATAAACAACACCAGTAAGTAACGTTGTACCTTACCGACCTCTAACAAGAACTAATAAACCACACCAGTCAGTAACATTGTACCTTAC